TCTCAAATTTGGCGCTTGTCAAAAGTTAGAACCGGCTGGCCGTATAGGTGATTTTGGACATTTTTTGAACGGTTTCGCTAATTAAAAGTCCACGCGTGCTTCGATAGCCCTGAGTATTGAATGAATGCAATTTGTCTTTAAAAATTGTGAAATACTGCATTTTGTACGAGGTCTGTATGATAAAAACAGCGCCTCATGGTACTCTTTCTCCTCAGATGTGGTGTACAAAAAAAAAATAATAATAAAACAATAGTTTGCACGCACCCAGATTTATTGGCAAGAATTTGTAAACTTGTCGAACGCAAAAAATTCGGCCTGATTTGTTTTCCAAGAATTTGTTTTCCACGCCTTATCTACTGTGATCAAGAGCCATTATTGCTCTTAAATGTGACCGAAGACTTTTTTTGGGGTGTACATATAAGGCTATATCAACTCGATACAAGATTTGTTTCACTCCAAAATCACTTAGCTTTTCCCCAAAAAAAATTTATCAATGGGAGCTTCACTTTTAGCTGTGGCTAAATCTATATATTAGACTGGAAATATAAGTTAATTGTTTTCGGGTCAATGGTAGAGCTGACGGGTGCATTGCGAACCTGTCTACCGGTGATCATATTGACAGTATCCCACCACCTCTTCGAACTGGTGTGATAACTACTTCTTCTCTCATTAATAGCACGGATTTGGTCAGCGCGAATGAGTTCGTTGATTCACTCTTGCAGGACAGGGTTTACAGACTGTCTGTGACTCCGTGAGTTCTTGTTCCTGATTTTACACAAATGTTTAACAAGAGGAGACATGAAAGGCGGATCTCGGGATGAAATTCTAACCTTAATAACTGGAAAGCATTCAATTCATTAAACATCAAAAGTAGAGTCTCGCTTAAACGCCTGACATTTTCACTAGGATCATCAGCAATGGTGAAACCTTCCCAGTCAACTGATCCATCTTTTTGTCCATACAAAGTTTACGGTGCTCTCTTACATCCCGAAAGGAAACAGTTTTACGGACTGGCTTGACAGCAATACGAGGCATAACCAGACTAGAGAGATGATTTGATCGTACAAGGCTTTTAAACACAGATGGTTGGTTCCATAGATGGGGACAATTGGTGAGAAATACATCCAGTATCTTCTGAGCTCGTGTAAAGGACTCAACCAATTGCTGAAAATTATGTTGGCTCATTAAGGTATTAATGTCGAATTGGTTAATATCACCAGCAATAACAATCCTTGCGTCAGGGTCCGAGGATAGAACTTGTTCGCAACAATCGGACAAATAATCGAGAAATTCACCATCCGCATAAACTGGATCCGGAGGATGATAGACGACAGCTACGTAATACTTAGAATGAGGCGTAGTTATAACGCTCCAGACGCATTCGAAAGAATCACTAGCAAATAAACGTTTAATTTGACAGTCACTTCTGCAGATGACCGCTACTCCACCCCCATTACGCGTACCAGCGCGGTCCTTCCTTAAGAGAATATATCCATTGGGGCACACCAAGTGCGAGGAGATTCTGTTATTGAGCCACGTCTCAGAGACAAAGCAAATGTCAATCTTATTAGAGTGGAGCTCTACATAAAGAGCTGAAGCCGCATCTGGTTTAGCGAGAGATCTAGCATTTATTACCATGCACTGAGGGATAATTTTAGGAGCAGACGGTCCAAGCTTGTCAGCTAAATCCACAACGGTGAGTGTACGATGGCGACCGCTAATTCGAAATTGATTAGCATTTTTCCGGTCTTGTGATGCAAGAGTTGGGATTCGCAAGCCAGATCCACTACCACGACCAGCACGATTACCGCGATATTTCAAAAGAGAGAACTCTTTCAGTTTGTTTAGGATATCACCACCAGGCTTAATTTTCCCGCAAGAAAAGCGAATAGAGAGAAATCGGCGTCTTGAATAAACAAATTGCGCTGGATAATTAACATACTGGGAATAATGCTTGGCACGTTGAGTTAAATTTGGCTTGAAGCTGCGATATGCTTTGCTCTGTGGGGTCCTGCACTCGGTAGTTATAGCCCACGTATACCGGACAGGACCAGGATTACTTTCAACATCAACGGCAATCGTTAGGTCGATTGGTACTGAGGCGTTTGCTGGCAGAAAAAGGCAAACACGGCCATGCTTGTTCCATCTGCATATCGGATAGTGTAAACGGCGTCCAATTAGCTGACAACAAATCACTTTAAAATGATCTTTCAAACGATTGAGTAAATCCCTTCAAAGCCTTACGTTTTTCAACTATTTTTGTTATTGGAGCTGGGACTGGTTTTTGCGTTTTGGTTCTTGGGGCTGGTACGGGCTTATCACTAAATTCCGGTGGTGGTGAAATAATATTGTATTCATATTCTTGCACCATTGTTTTGACACTTTTTCTTGGAGCTGGAATAGGGCGTGCTTCTGTCTGTCTTCTAAGAGCAGCGATAGGGCGTGCTTCTTCTCTTACGCGTACTAGATTTTCAAGCTCACTATCAGTGAGTCCCGAAAATGATCTTCTTATAAGTTGATTACGGCTCATTATATTATTACTATAGATATTTTCCATAAATATTAATATAATATAGCGTTATCACTTTAAGTCAATATTAAAATCGAAAATATGGTCCAAATAAGGGCCAAACAAATGAAATCACGGCTGGAATTTCATAAAAACGGAAGATTTAAAATCAACAAAATTGGTGCGAAAATAATGGAAAAATGCATCAAATACGCTCCAAATGCTAAAAAGTAATGGTATAAACATGTAACCAAAAAAGTGCCTACGTCAACAATTTCAAAAATTCTAGGAAGAAAGGCGGTGGTCATTTTCCCGGAATCCCATAGTCAAGGTCAAATCCAAAAATTATATTTTAAGTCCAGAATATGGAAGTGGCCCTATAGCCCTATATAAAATGGAGGACAAAAGAACTTGGGACTGTGTGAAAAAGCCCTTGCAAGCAATAATTCCGTAGGATTCTGCTCCTGAGGACATATTTTTGTTCGGCTTTGGGTACATCCCTTCGTCCCCCCACTTCCCCTAGCAATGTTGTGGCCAAAAAAAGCACTCAGTTTCACCCATTTAGCTCCAAATTCAACTTTGTTTGGGGTGGGAGGGGAGGGGTCGCTAGTTTTAGTAATATCACTGGGAAGGTCCCAACACTTTTGACCTCCATTGTCTGAAAACCACTTTGTTTAGAAAACTAGACGTTGCCTTGTGAGCTGTTGCGCAATGAATACCTTAATGCTGGAATTGATCTTTTGACGACGGTATGATATATTTTTTCAGACCAGAACAGCTATTCTTTTGCTCTAAGAGTGCTGGAAATAATCACGACATTTAACCGTATCACCATATAGAGCACTTTTCTGTGATATGTTTGCAAAATTTCCTCCTTGTCTTTGTAAAAAGCAATGTAGCGTCAGTAACACTTTCGGCAACAGTTCCAGAGACGTTAAATGGTATATATTTTATAGTATCTTCAACATTGATGCCAATTTTACGACAGTGTAACGGGATCTCGAGGTCGCGTTACACTGAGTAGCGCCTGTTAACATGTTTCGCCTTCAGTTCTCGGCTATTTAAGTGAATATATATGTCCTTAGAAATCTGATTTATCATCAAAATGTATCGACACAGTGATAAAATGTTTGTTTGCGATGAATCATTGCTGTTTGCCTACATAAAACGGAAGCGTTGAGTGATTTACGACAGTTCTTGCCCTTTTATAGTATAAAAATAATGTTTGAAATTTTGTCTGTTATTTAGTTAGGGGCGAGAACTGTTAAAAGTAGGGTATTATGTTTGAGAATTTCCAGTACAAGCACGTTTTTCTCTCAGACTAGATGAGATACAATATGTGAAAGCACATAATTTGCTTATCACTTTTTCAAACGCAGGAAAATGTACTTTTTACAGGTGAGAACTGTAGGGTGAGAAATGTGAGAACTGTGGAGTAACGCAAAGTATAGAATAGGTCACGCATAGTAATTTCCGGCAATATCAGGTCAGAAATGTTGGGAGCAGTCAACAGAATAATGTTAGCGAAGCTGAGAAGTCACAGGGAATTATGCTCACCGTTTAATTTGGCTGTTTGATCGCCAAAGTGTTCACCCGTTGACGAAGAACCTACAGAGCGCGCTCTAAGTATATCTGGGACGGGCCTTAGAAAATGTTAGTTTGTAGGGTATAAAAAGAGACATTTTCTGGCTTGGATAAGAAATGCCTTTTGTGTCTTCTAAGTGCATCTTCTCAGATAGTAAAAATAAGTACTCACAGCATTAAATGCCTTTAAGAGCTCAATCCAAAACACGTCGTTCAAATAATCACTTAGTTCCTTCTGGGTAAACTGAATGTCCACGCCGAATACCCTCGTTTGGCAAGGTATCCGTAACTCTTTAGCGCGACAGACGGATGAACTGCAGCGCATAGAAAGATTTTCTTAAAAAAAACTACACCTTAACAGTTCTAATGAAAAACTTTTCCTATATTTTTGGATTGAAAGATGACGAAAAATTCATTTTATCGCTGTAAATCTATTTCGGACAATGGAGGACAAAAGAACTTGGGACTGTGTGAAAAAGCCCTTGCAAGCAATAATTCCGTAGGATTCTGCTCCTGAGGACATATTTTTGTTCGGCTTTGGGTACATCCCTTCGTCCCCCCACTTCCCCTAGCAATGTTGTGGCCAAAAAAAGCACTCAGTTTCACCCATTTAGCTCCAAATTCAACTTTGTTTGGGGTGGGAGGGGAGGGGTCGCTAGTTTTAGTAATATCACTGGGAAGGTCCCAACACTTTTGACCTCCATTGTATCTGAGCTCGTGTAAAGGACTCAACCAATTGCTGAAAATTATGTTGGCTCATTAAGGTATTAATGTCGAATTGGTTAATATCACCAGCAATAACAATCCTTGCGTCAGGGTCCGAGGATAGAACTTGTTCGAAACAATAGGACAAATAATCGAGAAATTCACCATCCGCATAAACTGGATCAGGAGGATGATAGACGACAGCTACGTAATACTTAGAATGAGGCGTAGTTATAACGCTCCAGACGCATTCGAAAGAATCACTAGCAAATAAATGTTTAATTTGACAGTCACTTCTGCAGATGACCGCTACTCCACCCCCATTACGCGTACCAGCGCGGTCCTTCCTTAAGAGAATATATCCATTGGGGCACACCAAGTGCGAGGAGATTCTGTTATTGAGCCACGTCTCAGAGACAAAGCAAATGTCAATCTTATTAGAGTGGAGCTCTACATAAAGAGCTGAAGCCGCATCTGGTTTAGCGAGAGATCTAGCATTTATTACCATGCACTGAGGGATAATTTTAGGAGCAGACGGTCCAAGCTTGTCAGCTAAATCCACAACGGTGAGTGTACGATGGCGACCGCTAATTCGAAATTGATTAGCATTTTTCCGGTCTTGTGATGCAAGAGTTGGGATTCGCAAGCCAGATCCACTACCACGACCAGCACGATTACCGCGATATTTCAAAAGAGAGAACTCTTTCAGTTTGTTTAGGATATCACCACCAGGCTTAATTTTCCCGCAAGAAAAGCGAATAGAGAGAAATCGGCGTCTTGAATAAACAAATTGCGCTGGATAATTAACATACTGGGAATAATGCTTGGCACGTTGAGTTAAATTTGGCTTGAAGCTGCGATATGCTTTGCTCTGTGGGGTCCTGCACTCGGTAGTTATAGCCCACGTATACCGGACAGGACCAGGATTACTTTCAACATCAACGGCAATCGTTAGGTCGATTGGTACTGAGGCGTTTGCTGGCAGAAAAAGGCAAACACGGCCATGCTTGTTCCATCTGCATATCGGATAGTGTAAACGGCGTCCAATTAGCTGACAACAAATCACTTTAAAATGATCTTTCAAACGATTGAGTAAATCCCTTCAAAGCCTTACGTTTTTCAACTATTTTTGTTATTGGAGCTGGGACTGGTTTTTGCGTTTTGGTTCTTGGGGCTGGTACGGGCTTATCACTAAATTCCGGTGGTGGTGAAATAATATTGTATTCATATTCTTGCACCATTGTTTTGACACTTTTTCTTGGAGCTGGAATAGGGCGTGCTTCTGTCTGTCTTCTAAGAGCAGCGATAGGGCGTGCTTCTTCTCTTACGCGTACTAGATTTTCAAGCTCACTATCAGTGAGTCCCGAAAATGATCTTCTTATAAGTTGATTACGGCTCATTATATTATTACTATAGATATTTTCCATAAATATTAATATAATATAGCGTTATCACTTTAAGTCAATATTAAAATCGAAAATATGGTCCAAATAAGGGCCAAACAAATGAAATCACGGCTGGAATTTCATAAAAACGGAAGATTTAAAATCAACAAAATTGGTGCGAAAATAATGGAAAAATGCATCAAATACGCTCCAAATGCTAAAAAGTAATGGTATAAACATGTAACCAAAAAAGTGCCTACGTCATCAATTTCAAAAATTCTAGGAAGAAAGGCGGTGGTCATTTTCCCGGAATCCCATAGTCAAGGTCAAATCCAAAAATTATATTTTAAGTCCAGAATATGGAAGTGGCCCTATAGCCCTATATAAAATGGAGGACAAAAGAACTTGGGACTGTGTGAAAAAGCCCTTGCAAGCAATAATTCCGTAGGATTCTGCTCCTGAGGACATATTTTTGTTCGGCTTTGGGTACATCCCTTCGTCCCCCCACTTCCCCTAGCAATGTTGTGGCCAAAAAAAGCACTCAGTTTCACCCATTTAGCTCCAAATTCAACTTTGTTTGGGGTGGGAGGGGAGGGGTCGCTAGTTTTAGTAATATCACTGGGAAGGTCCCAACACTTTTGACCTCCATTGTCTGAAAACCACTTTGTTTAGAAAACTAGACGTTGCCTTGTGAGCTGTTGCGCAATGAATACCTTAATGCTGGAATTGATCTTTTGACGACGGTATGATATATTTTTTCAGACCAGAACAGCTATTCTTTTGCTCTAAGAGTGCTGGAAATAATCACGACATTTAACCGTATCACCATATAGAGCACTTTTCTGTGATATGTTTGCAAAATTTCCTCCTTGTCTTTGTAAAAAGCAATGTAGCGTCAGTAACACTTTCGGCAACAGTTCCAGAGACGTTAAATGGTATATATTTTATAGTATCTTCAACATTGATGCCAATTTTACGACAGTGTAACGGGATCTCGAGGTCGCGTTACACTGAGTAGCGCCTGTTAACATGTTTCGCCTTCAGTTCTCGGCTATTTAAGTGAATATATATGTCCTTAGAAATCTGATTTATCATCAAAATGTATCGACACAGTGATAAAATGTTTGTTTGCGATGAATCATTGCTGTTTGCCTACATAAAACGGAAGCGTTGAGTGATTTACGACAGTTCTTGCCCTTTTATAGTATAAAAATAATGTTTGAAATTTTGTCTGTTATTTAGTTAGGGGCGAGAACTGTTAAAAGTAGGGTATTATGTTTGAGAATTTCCAGTACAAGCACGTTTTTCTCTCAGACTAGATGAGATACAATATGTGAAAGCACATAATTTGCTTATCACTTTTTCAAACGCAGGAAAATGTACTTTTTACAGGTGAGAACTGTAGGGTGAGAAATGTGAGAACTGTGGAGTAACGCAAAGTATAGAATAGGTCACGCATAGTAATTTCCGGCAATATCAGGTCAGAAATGTTGGGAGCAGTCAACAGAATAATGTTAGCGAAGCTGAGAAGTCACAGGGAATTATGCTCACCGTTTAATTTGGCTGTTTGATCGCCAAAGTGTTCACCCGTTGACGAAGAACCTACAGAGCGCGCTCTAAGTATATCTGGGACGGGCCTTAGAAAATGTTAGTTTGTAGGGTATAAAAAGAGACATTTTCTGGCTTGGATAAGAAATGCCTTTTGTGTCTTCTAAGTGCATCTTCTCAGATAGTAAAAATAAGTACTCACAGCATTAAATGCCTTTAAGAGCTCAATCCAAAACACGTCGTTCAAATAATCACTTAGTTCCTTCTGGGTAAACTGAATGTCCACGCCGAATACCCTCGTTTGGCAAGGTATCCGTAACTCTTTAGCGCGACAGACGGATGAACTGCAGCGCATAGAAAGATTTTCTTAAAAAAAACTACACCTTAACAGTTCTAATGAAAAACTTTTCCTATATTTTTGGATTGAAAGATGACGAAAAATTCATTTTATCGCTGTAAATCTATTTCGGACAATGGAGGACAAAAGAACTTGGGACTGTGTGAAAAAGCCCTTGCAAGCAATAATTCCGTAGGATTCTGCTCCTGAGGACATATTTTTGTTCGGCTTTGGGTACATCCCTTCGTCCCCCCACTTCCCCTAGTAATGTTGTGGCCAAAAAAAGCACTCAGTTTCACCCATTTAGCTCCAAATTCAACTTTGTTTGGGGTGGGAGGGGAGGGGTCGCTAGTTTTAGTAATATCACTGGGAAGGTCCCAACACTTTTGACCTCCATTGTAGGTCAAGGTCAAGGTCATCAAAAAAAGCTGACATAAAAAAAATACCAAGGTTAAATCCAGAAAAATGATACTGGCCCTATAGCCCCAAGTCCTATACTACTATCCAAACAAATGTTTTGTTACGCAAGGGTTTCAACGTTTTTGACTCTAGTGATTTCATGGAGAGTCCTTTCTTTATAACTAATTATATGGTAGAGTACCCGAGCACCGCATACGATATTTTAACTCATATATGGATACGATAAGGCCTATAATGAAGGGACATTGAAACTGATAATTAACCCGTCAAAAGATAGAGTACTGAATTTTGGTCGTTCACTTGACAATTTCCTACATCTTCATTGTTTTCTTTATGGAATTTTTCCGATACATCAGGTGGTAGGTATCATTTGATTTTCAGTGACAAGTAATTAGTCAATAAATCGAAATGCAAAATACCTGTGTTTCGATTGCTTTAAACACGTATTTTGGTTGGCTGTCACTACAATACTGATCTTCGAGCCAGATAGGGTCAGAAAAGATGTTTTAGTCGTATCTTGCGTGCCCTCTTTCATTTTCTCGTCAGTTTCGAATGGTTTTTGAGATTTTCCTACTGTACCAATAGACCCCCTATTATTTTTCAAGTCTTGGCACCCGACTGACAACACATTGAGCCCCACTACATTTCTGACCTTACCTGTCCAAACAAAAACTTTGTTACGCAGTTTCAACTTTTTTGAATTTAGTAATTTCAGGGAGAGTCCTTTGTTTATAACTAATTATATTATAGATAGTAGCCGACTACCGCATACGATATTTTAACTCATATACGCATATCATGGGGGTTAAAATAAACGGACTTTAAAGTGATAAATAGCTCTCAAAAGATAAAGTAATGAATTTTGGTTGTTTACGTCATGATTTCTTACTTCTCTATTTTGGAACTAACAGTAAATGCAGAATTACACAACTTGTATAACTGGCTGACTTCAAACAAACTTTCCCTGAATATTAAAAAGTCAAACTATGTAATTTTTCGTCCATACCAAAAAAAACTCAACTATGCGATCCCCAGGTCAATATCTTTGACAATGAAAGCAATAAAAAGGTTACCCTTGAACGCAAAAACTTTATTAAATATCTTGGACTGTTAATTGATGAAAATCTATCTTGGAAGACCCATATTCACTCTGTTGCAAATAAAATAAGTAAAACAATTGGGCTAATTGCGAGATTAAGACATATTGTTCCCACTTGCACCCTCTTAAATATTTATCAGTCACTTATTACACCTTATCTAACTTATGGTCTTATCTCTTGGGGCAACGCGTGTAAAACTTTCCTTGACCAAATTCTTGTCCTTCAAAAACGCGCACTGCGTTTAATATATTTTGCTGAAACAAACGACCACGCAATACCTTTTTTTGTCAATGCAAAAATTCTACCTTTACAGTCTCTATATTATGAATCCGTTTGTAGTCTTATGTATGATGTAAATAAAAACACTGCTCCGGTTAATATTTCGAAACTCTTCTCTCGAATTTCTAGTGTTCATACTTACAACACACG